TAAGAGAATAAAATCAAGGGCTGGGTTTGTGGCTCAGTGGTAGCACGCTTGCCTAGCATGTGTGAGATACTGGGTTCGATTCTCAGCACCACAAACAATAAAATAAAGGTCCATCAACAACTAAGAAATATTTTTAAAAAAGAGAATAAAATCATGGCATTTGCAGGTTAATGGATGGAGTTGGAGAATATAATGCTAAGTGAAGTTAGCCAATCCCCCCAAAACAAATGCTGAATGTTTTCCTTGATATAAGGATGCTGATTCAGAATGGGGTGGGGTGGGAGCATGGGAGGATTAGGGCAAAGTGGTGGGAGGGGAAGGGGAGGCACGAGGGTAGAAAAACTGGTGAAATGAGATGGACAACATTACCCTAAGTACATGTATGAAGACATGAATGGTGTAACTACACTTTGTGTACAACCAGAGATATGAAAAATTGTGCTCTATATGTATAATATGAATTATAATGCATTCTGCTATCATATATAACAAATTAGAATAAAATACAAAAAAATGGGGTGCCTACATACCTTGTACTATTAGGCACAAAACTATAAAATCAGGGTGATGAAGACAACTAGTTTTCATAGAATTATTCTGCCCTGTCAATTCTAACTTAAAGTTGGAATTGAGCATATCATCTAAAAATAAACATTTTAAATGGAGCTTTGGACTTGTCACAATCCACTGTTTTTAGAAATATCAGTGAAAGCAACACCTTTTTTGAGGGGGTGGGAGTAAGGTATCTGATGGAAGAAGAGTATTTATTGGAAGGCTACTGGAGTACCTCAATTAATTAAACATGGCCACCACTAGCTCTTAAACTTTACATCATTAGAAATATTCTCTCAATTCAAGTTGAAAATCTTGCAAAAAGCTCAGACTAGCCTGGCTTGGGTCAGATGTGAACCCCTAAACTAGTCACAAAAAACCATTTAACTTCTGCAGAGACTCAAGGCTGGCAATGGAGGCACAACTGTCTCAAAGGGGGAGTGCTAAGCAAATACACAGATGTCTGCTACACACTCACACTGCATTTACAGAAAGTGTACTTCCTGCAAACTGTCAGTTTCCATTAATTAGTACAAAAAAACACATTACTACACAGGATGGGCTAATAATCAAATGGATAAAGATGGGAGTGATATGACCAGAGAAACAAAAAGTAAGGGAAGAGAGAAGTAACAGAAAAACCAAGGAATCTACAAACCATCCCTTCCCCCACCTGCTTACCTGTCATGATACCACATATGTATTTGTGTAAAATTATTTGTGCATAGAGTAAAAATTTAAAACCAATGAATCTTTTTATTTTAGAAGAGTTCCATAGAAATTGACAAAAATGGTAGTTACCATACACTTCCTTACCCAGTTTCTCCTATATTTAACATCTTGCATTAGTAAGGAAAATTTTCATAATTAATGCACCAATAGTGATATTAACTCAAGTCTAGAATGTTTTCAAAGTTCTTTAGTTTTTACCTAATGTTCTTTTATGTTTTAGGATCCCATCCAGGATGCTACATTACATTAGTAGTCATATCTCCTTAGGCTCCTCTTGGCTATGACAGTTTCTTAGTCTTTCCTTGTTTTTGATATTCTTGTCAGCTTTGAAGACTATCCCTATCATGAGAATTTTTTTTTCCTCATGATTAGATCAGAATTATGAATCCTAGGGAAGAAGACCATCTAGGTAATGTGGGTTCTCATCATATCACGTCCAGGATACTTGTTATCAACATAACTTATCACTGTTGGTGTTGAACTTGATCACATGGCTGAAATGGTATGATGAATTTTTAATAAGATAAAACCAATTACAATAGCTTCAGAGATAGGACAAGGAAAGCAAAGATGCATTAGTCAAATTGTAATTTTATTTTTGTGGCTTCAAACTTTAAGGACATTACTTCTTATCTGCGAGAAGAGGAACTTTTAAAATATTGACTATCAATTTCTAGCTATTCTAGAAATATTGGATGTCACAGGTAAAAGCTAATGTCTGCCAAATTGACAATTATCTTTGTCAGTCATATTATTCAAGTCCATTGAATACATTAAAGAAATACTTCTAAAAATCCATAAATTGCTGATATTTGCTACAAGTGGTATCTGAAGCAAGTCAAGCTAACTAAATTCTGTGAAAAGAATTTATGTGTTCATTAGTTTAAACAAGAGTAATAGTTTTATATGTTAATGTTAGTCCTTTGAGGTCCATTAAAGAAAATTATGACAGCTGATGTTTTTAAAATTTTTGTGACAAAGCATCATTACATATTTTAACTCATATCATCTTCAACAGTGTCTAACCCCAAGAAAACAAGCTGATATTTGTTGTGAATTTATTTTTCAGATAAAGAATGTAAAATATGAAGTCCAGTAGTAGTAAATGTTCCCACATGAAAAACTAAATGATACTAAACAATTTAAACAGAGGCAGGCAGTACATTTTGAAGTTTTCCCACATTAAAGGCTAAAGTAAGTATGATTTTGCCGTCTTCAGGAAAAACTATTCAATTAAACATACAACACCCTATTTTTCAAAACAGTGTGACAAATTGAGTATGAGAGTTTATGAGGACATTTCTATAGTATGTCATCAAAAGGGAGGGAGACTCTCACATGGGGTCTTTGATAAGGTAAGCAGAAAGTCTGGCATATGGCTATCTTCCACTCTTCACAATACACATAAATTAAGCTTCCTTAATAAAGAAATGTACCTATTTAACTTTGATTGACTATGTGTTTCTCAAGTATATTTCATCAAGGAACCCTTCTTATTATGACTTACATTTGTATACAAAGGAACTGATGTTCTATGGGACATGTTTTCAGAAATGCTAGTTGGTGGCTCACAAATACTATAATTCTATTGGTGAGTAAACAACAACTGTAATACATTTTAATATATGATACATCTCAAATGATTTTTTATTTCTTCATAGAAATACCCACTTTTACTCTCTTTAAAAACCATGCTGATGTGTGTTGGGGATGTAGCTCAGTGGCAGAGCACCTGCTTGGCATGGGTGAGGCCCTGGGTTCAATCCCTGGTACCAAAAAAAAAAAAAAGTATATAAAAAAATCCCAAAACATGTTGATGAAAAAAATGGAAAAATGCTATAAAGATATTACTCTAGTACTGAAAGCATACAGCATAACAATAATAAATGCTTTAAAGCATCTTACAGAGGACAGGAGGACTGTCAACAAGAATGACTGTGAAAAGGAAGGAAATTACTGAGTTATCTCTAAATATACTGTCATTTACATTATTTTCCTAAAAAAATGAAAAAGAGGCTGGGTGTGGTAGCACATGTCTGTAATCCCAGGTATCAGGAGGCTGAGGCAAGAGGATTACAAATTCAAGGCTAACCTCAGCAATTTAGTGAGACCCTTTCTCAAAAGAAAAACAAAACAAAACCAAAAACCAAAAAGGGGTAGGGATATAGCTAAGTGGTTAAGAACATCTGGGTTCAATCCCCAGTACCATAAAAGAATCCCAAGTACCATAGAATAAAAAGAACTTTAAATAACTTTGTGTTCTCAATGTTGCACACTAAATGTAATAATATAGAAAATTAGTCTATTGGTAAATTATTCACAGGCTGCAGTTCATTTCCTAAAGCCTTAGTGTTCCCTCCCAAATTTAATCTTCATCCATGAGATACAGCATGTTTTTTTTTGTTGTTCAAGATTTTTCTACTTGATATGTCCACTTTACTTTATACAGCATTTTCTAATTTAAACCATGTGATTAGCAAATATCTTTAAGTCCTGATTAAGAAATCTAGTACATTATAGATAGAATGAAAAAATATATGTCTTAAACATAAATATATTTTGCCTAAATATCATTTCTTTTTTGGTTATTCAATACAAAAATATATATTTCAAACACTTTAAGATATTTGAGAAAATGTACCATAGAGAGGTTCATTTCTCAGTGAGTCTGAGGGATCCAATTATAGTGCAGCGACATAAGCCTGGGGTTGTGGGTGCACTTTCCTCTTCTGCCAACTCACACTGACCCCAAAAGGCAATGTGAAGAAAAATGCAGGCTTCAAAGAACATAATAATTAAAGATAAGGCACTGAGCACCTTTTATAATGTTGTAATAAAATATCCATTAATTTTTCTGTATGAAAATCTGGGAAAAAAACTAAATATAAAAAGAGTTAAGTGATAAGTCTTTATGTAATGAATCTTATCTGATTAGTGAAAAAAACTGATAAAAAGCTGGGCACAGCCTTCTAGAGACTAGAGGCTGAGGCAGGAGGAATGCAAGTTCTAGGCCAGCCTGGGTAATTTAGTGAGACCTTGTCTCAAAAAAAAAAAGGACTGGGGATGTAGCTCAGTGGTAAGCGCCCCTGGGTTCAATCTACAGTTCCACAAAAAAAAAAAAAAAAAAAGAAAAAAAAAGAAAAAAAGAAAAAAAAAGATATAAAACTCTCTGAGGTTATATGAAAGCTCATGGATTCTCTTTCTGCCAATAGCATTGTTTGCTATGGTAGCTTCTTAGATGTTCACCTTAATTTCATATTATAGACTGATGCATTCGGTCTTATATTAACATCAATAACTCTCTATTAATATACTGATACTGCTGTATTCAGTGTCATGTCATCACAGTAAATTATATTTCATCATAAATAAAAATACAGAAAATATATTTTATCAAATTGAGTTTTGAGCTTTTAAAAATTGTATCTAATCACTTCCCTTCAAATGTGAAAAATCTAGTAATTTGTAAAGGGTTTTCTTGTCACTAATATGAATTAATAATGCTATAACTTATTTCAAAAGCAATTATTTTTTAAAAATGGGACATATACCAATAAAGGTTAGCATCAGCCAAATGCTTCTGGCATACCATGGGCAAAAGGCCAACTCTTCAGTGTTATGTAAAGGTCACTTTAAGAAAAATCTGAATAAAAAATTACTCTCAAAAATATCTTGTCCATTAGAATTAGTTTACAAATGAAAAAAAAAAGAATTAGTTTACAAATGGAAATCTAAATTTAATGAAATGAATTTAGGCCCTTGGATTAGAATCTCACAACCAGAAGAACAGTTTTAACAAGAATTCTTATGATATTGTTTTAACCATTGATTTGAAAAATTCTGTTGAAACAATATATGAAAAAAAACCACTACAGAGGTAACAGATGTTGCATCTACAATTAAAAACTATTCCTTTTAAAAAGACACAAATACCAAGTATTCTACTTTTCCACCCCTAGAAATTCCACGATAAACCATAAATGGAGGAAAAAATGTCAAGGTTAAACTTGCATCTAACTATTGACTATGACACCCCTGGCAATAGCACTAAGTGTAAGACAGTAAACTGCATACTGAAGAAAAATGACAAGAACTTGCAAGTATTTTTCCAGTAGAGCTTTAGTCAATTTGAAATAAGATACCCTAATTGTCTTATAAGTGATATTATTGAGCAGTTAGAACTGCTACAAAACCTGTGCTGAGAGCGGATATATATTTACAGTGCCATGTGGTGAGTCCTTCAAGTTCAGCCACACCAGTGATTTTGGATGCCACCACTACCGCCCTCACAGAAGCATGATCTTCTTCGGGCATATGGGGAGTGGTACCTTGATGATCAGATTGTGACAAGTGCTATGAAACATCACTGAGACGAGCAGCCAGCTAAAAGAAAACAAAATGAGAATGGAGAATGCTTTTCTATAGACATCATTACTGTTTCACAATGATTGAACAATCTTAAAAGAAAAAGAAAGAAAAGGAAGCTCCTTTATCCCAGATATCCTATAAGTTCAGAATTCAAAATATTATTTTTTCTACAGAAATATACAATGCATCAATGGATTCCTATTGAATCCTTAATGGGATTTTAGATGAGCAGGAGAGAGAATCCAGATGCTAAATGAAGGTTTCCATAACATCATATGAGATGGCTTTTGGGTTTGCCATACAGTCTGAGTTTCTTTGTTGTGAGCAGCTGTGCCAGGCCATTGAGAAACACCAGAAAGATGGTCATGGACATGACAATCACATAGTGGCTAATGCTGTAAAAGGAGAAAAATATGCAATCATCAGAGAAAAGAACACATGAGGAAGAGCACAAGATTCCTAAAAACGTTTTAAAACGGATATATCAATACATGGAATTACAAAGATACCAATGATTTCAAAATAGAGACCAAAATATTTTTTTTAACTCCAAACTTGTTATATAGTAATATGAGTACTGTATGTACTTATTATTAACAATAATAAACTATATAATAAGATCAGATTATGATTTCCAACCTATATTAATGTACCTATTTCACTGACATAGTCTCAGAATTGCAAACTTGGGACTTAATGGGTTAATTTCTACTGGTGACAAAGTCACAGGAACTTGGTAATGTATACTGGACATTAATAATGCATACTGATTACATATTAATTTTAATTCCAATAACACAAACTACCATTATGCTAAAATAGTGATGAAGATATTTTGATATTATCTGTAACAATTGTAATGTTATAAAAATGTCTGTTGTATGTTATAAAAATTATATTATATAACATAAAATAAAAATATTTTATTATTTAAATTTATTATAAAAATAACATATAAAATTAAAAAATTTATATTATATAACATATAATAAAAATATATTATATAACATAACAGATAAAAATTATTTATATAATAGAAAAAAATTATTTATAACATATAACATATAAAATTTAGCAGTTCCTGTGACTTTGTCACCAGTAGAAATTAACCTATTAAATCCCAAGTTTTCAATTCTGAGACTATTTCAGTGAAATAGGTGCATTAATATAGGTTGGAAATAATAATCTTATTATATAATTTATTATTGTTAATAATATTTTAATGAATATTATCACTAATAAATTCACTTATTACTTTTTGTAAAAGAATAAAACTCTAAGACCATAAATACTTATTTTGAAGTTACCATAAGTGATGTATTTGTTGCTCAATTTAAATTTTTAAGGTGTTCCATAAGTGGGAAAATAGGACATCTGGGTTAAATTTCGAAAACTTGTAGAAAAACGAAAATGATTTTTTCCCCAATTCTTGAACCCTCTGGATTCTATCTTGAATCCCCAAAGATGTCCCTAGGTTAAGTATTCTGATGTTTTAGAGCATGCCATCTTATGCTCTGACGTAAGTTTGGAAGTACTTTGTCAAAACTAACAGTCACTGTAAGTAGAATTTATAACACAAAAATCCCATTATTATGTACAATTATAATGCACCAATAAAAAAAATGTGGGGGAAAAACCCTTTAAACTACTAGTCACTAAGAAAGAAAAACATTACCCAAGCTCAAGTTTTAGTCAAGAAATTTTAGCAAAGGGGAAACAGACACATCTCTTCATTAATCTCATAATCAAAAGCTATTATTATCTTCCAGACTATCAGAAAAAGAAGAGTGATACTATTAGAATTTCTTCATTCTTATCTATCAACAATAGCACATTCTGTTTTCCTTTTTAAGCACAGTACTTATACACCGCATAGAACATATTAAAAATTTTTCAAAGAATGGAAAGAAATGTAGGTTACAGGTCTGACAAAGGTACAGTAGGGGGGAGAGGCTTCATGAAGTGACACTAGTAGAGTACTGCCCATACTAAGCTAAGGTGTATATTGTAAAGTTATTTCTTTTCAATGCCTATCAGTTACATTTAACTATTTACCTTTACAATGGATTTGCATATATATATATATATATATATTTTTTTTTTTTTTAAACACTGTTCAACAAAGAGAGGGGAACAATATTTTAGCAGGCCTACAACACAGCTAGTGAGGAAGGGAGTCATTTTTTCTTTCCCTTCTCTCATCTACCCCCAGCAAATGGGAGAATAGTTTCCTTCCTACTTTCCCAACCACTTCACCTTCATAGCTAAGCAGCCCCCAATGTGCCAAATTGCTGGTTTTAGGTCAGCTTTACCATGTTGTCATGACTTTGCTCATTGGTAAGACTCTCAAGACCAAGAAAGAAGGGCTTTCTACTTCGTACAATTTTTTTTTAAGTAATGTTACAGTTTTTAAGAGCCTCCAATGGTAAAGTTTTAGTCTGACAAAACTGTCTTTGGAAAGGCTGAAGATCCTTATATAGAATTTCTCTAAGCTTACCCTGTAAAGTAAATATGAAACAAAAAAGGAAGAGCTGGAAAATGAAACAGCAAGGATTATAACCAGTTACATTAGAAATCTGGCTCTGGTCTAGGATAGACACCTTACCCAAGAAGAAAACAATAAAATTAGATCCTTAATTGATGAACAAATATCAACACTAAAGGCAGTTTTTAAAAACTGTTGTTTTCACTATAAAAGTAATGTAATAGGTATTAGAAATGAATTTTTCTACTTAAATTTATCTTAGTGTATGTGCATATTGTTTTTTTTTTTTTACCTAGAATGAATATGATTCTTACCTTCTATTTAATTAAATTACTGATAATTATTCAAAAATAAAAACAACTATAAGACTATTATTATCTAGATGTGCTGGGAATAAAATTATATAGAAATTTATTTTAACATAATACTTTGGAAACTGATGCCAAAATAAACACGATCGTTAAAATTAAGTGAGCCATGGTGACATTTCATTACACAAAATTTGGTATATTGGTAAATGGATCTTACTTTAAAAGTTTTCCCAAGCAAGGTAACTTAAGTTCATCAAGGCACATGGATGCTGGGAAAATGAGATGAAGTAGGTGTGCTATCCCCTACTCCTCCTGCTAAGTACAACTAAACATTTTGGACATTATATAAAACTAACACAAGAAGACTCCAAATGGCAGAAAGAAGGTGGCAGACTGGCTAGGGCTCCTAGAACCCATGAAATCCACCACTGTGGGTTTTCTTTTTGTCTCAAATGTATCAGCTTGCAGAAGGTATAAGCCCTTGGGGTTGGGGCTGTGGCTCAGTGGTGGAGTGCCTGCCTCGCACCCATAAGGCACTGAGTTTGATCCTCAGCACCACATAAAAACATAAATAAATAAAGATTAAAAAAAGAAAGAAAGAAAGTATAAGCCCTGTGGAACTAGGAGCCATCAACTTTTATCTTTTTCCCCCATTACATCTCTAAGGCCCTTTGGACATTCAATTGATGTCTATTATATGAAAAGGATAATTTGTAATTAAAATAAATAATAAAATATTCTTTTGTTTTCTATTACCTCAGCAGATTTAATAAATCAGACTTCCCTAAAATAGTAGTCATAATCAAAATTAAATGTTTAAAAAATTTAAAGAAACAAAAGAATCTCTAGTAAAATGAGTCTTATGAGATATTAAAACATGAAGTGAGGGCTGGGGTTATGGATCATCAGTAGAGTGCTCGCCTAGCACGTGCAAGGCCCTGGGTTCGATCCTCAGCACCACATAAAAATAAATAAAATAATGGTATTGTGTCCAACTACAATTGAAAAATAAATATTTAAAAAAACATGAAGTGAAGTGTATTGCTGGTATTAGAATCATTACTTAGAACAATGGATGAGAACAGAAAGCCTTGACACACTATAAGACAATAAGATAAAGGAATAACTGTGAAAACTCAAAACTGCTCTGACTGGACTCACTTTAAATTTGTAAGCAAGACTAGGATTTTTTTTTTTCTCATTAGTGGCAGAGAACTCTAAGGCTGACTTCATAATTACTACAGAAATCTTCAACTCTATTGTATCTCTCAGACCTAACAGGGCATTTAAAATTTGTTGACTAGTTCCTGAGGTCAAAATCTTCAACTCAATAAACTGCCTAAAAAGTCACAATTTCGTGCTATAAAAATGTTTATTTCCCAGGCTGGGGACCTAAGTCTATATTCAAGTGGTGAGATGACTAAATTAAGGGAGTACAAAGTGCTCATTAGAGAGCCTAAAAGATCAAATCCAGGAAAGCTCCATTTGATTTTGGAAACCAGGCAAGAAGGCTGGGAGCTAGGTAAATGAAGAAAAGTACAAGGACTATAATGCAAAATAATACATTATGGAATGGATAAACAAAATATCAGCAAAATGGATCACTATTTAGCAAAGGAAAGGAACAAAGTATTGATATAAGCTACATTATAGATTAATGTCCCCCACCCCCAATCATTACACAAAGTGAAAAAATCAGGTGCTTATATAAATTGTCAAATCCCTGAGGACAGAAAATAGATCAGTGTGGATGGGTATATATATGTTTCAGTGGTAAAGCATGGGCTTCACATACAGGAGGCCCTGGGTTTAATTCCCAGCACTATGAAGGAAAAAAGAGAGAAGGAGAGAGAGAGGGAGGGGAAGATACAAGGCTGATTAGTGGTTGTCTAGGGCTGCGTATAGGAAAGGGGATAGATTGTAAACAGGTTCAAGGGAATGTTTTGGGTGATGAAAATGTTCAAAGACTAGATTACAGTGATGGTTGTATAACTCTAATAAACTGCTAAAAATTACTGAAATGATTTTAAAATCATTTGAGTAAGTCAAAACTTTAAACTGGATGAATTGATGGTATATAAATTATATCACAATAAAATTTCTAAGAGATAGAAATATCTTCTTACAATGGCCTGAAATTACTGACTCTTGGCTCATTTAAACTAACATCATTGGCAGAAGACAGCTGTAAAGCTCATCAGCATCATGTCATTGAGCCGTAAGGCATCCAGCTCATGATGTTTTGTATCAGTCAAGTCTTAGTGTCATCTAAGCATTAGCAGAGTTAAAGGAACATGAAGTCTCAACTTGAAATGAATTCAGCTGTTTCCACTCTCCCCCAACTACACAAACATCATTTAAGTCAGCAGTTCTCACGGTGTAATATGTGATGGAAGAGAAGGACAGTGTACCAGTGGAGGGGCACATAGAACTGCCAGGCAGGTCTTTTTAGCCCATACAATAAGTGATATAAGCTTGACTATATTCTTCTCAGTCAGGGTGATGGGTTATAGAAGCAGGTCATATCTGTCAGATGTAATGCAGCAAAAAAAGGTTGAGAACCACTGATTTGAATATAGCTTGATATTTATTCAAAGAA